GTGGAGGGAGTCTCTGCAGCAGGCCTGGCTTTGTGCCGCGGTGCAAACCTTCATGCCCGCCACGTGCCGCCCTGGCACCCGCCGGGATCTGCCTGGCATCGCATGGAGGCAGGGAGTAAGGTGGGATTTGCCCGGCGCAAAGGGGACGGCGATTTCTCCTTGCACCGCAGCTCCGGGCGGGATGGATCAGCCACATCCCCGAAGGGAGAAGCCCAACGCTTTGCATTACGCGCTCATAGCCCCAAATAATCCCCTCTCCAAAGCCCTAATCCCCTGGCAAACACGCGTAGAGTGCCGCACACCCGAGCTATCAGCAGCCTCTCCATCCACCACTTAGTCATAAGCACAACTCAACGCTTGTCCCGGGCAGCTCTCCTGGTTACAGAGGAGTTTCCCCGTGGACTCCTCCACCGTCTTCTTGCCAGCCACTAACTGCCCGATTGCGTGCCGTGCCCGCAGCCGTCCCGCTGGAAGGCGTCTCGGTGGTTCAGCCTCTGAAAGAAAAAAAAAGCACAAGAAAAGCAGCAAAATATACACCCGGTGCTGCACTGCTGGGCTGTTTCGCAGCAACTTTGCTTGGCAAAGCTCTCCAAGCACCAGCTCCACACCCGGGGCACGCGTGCTTGCACACGCAGCGCCAAACTGCCTCCGAGCTTCGCCCGCTGCCAAACGCAGCCACCTCCGGGGCTGTGAAGAATTGGGGGATTTTCAAGTTCTCAGCTAAGCACTCAGGTCACCCTCGGTCATTAGCAGGGCTTGCAAAACCCCAAAACATCCACAGAAGCATCAGGAAACAGGCCACAAACTTATACCGGGTTTTGCGTTATTTTTAAACCCCGTTGCAAAAGCACATATATGTGCTGCTTAGAGAAAGATCTTTCCCTTTACCTTTTGGGGTTTGAGGCTTTTGGATGGAGGGGAGTCACACTTTAAGTTTTCCTCCAGCCAATGCAAAAAGTTATTACCGTTTTAAGATAAAACCCAAGAATCTAAAGTTTTTGTATACGCGAGGCTTTACTGAAAAATTAGTAGGGGGGGAGAAATCACCAGCATTGATGCTACAATTTAATATTACACTTGTAAGGGGCTCAAAGGACATTTCAAACTGGTCCAGGCACCACTGTGCCCCTCCAAAGGCTGACTGTCACCCGTCAAAAGGATGGAAAGACAGACATCCCCCCGCCCCGTGCTCGCCATGAGCGTACATCCTTCTGTGCTGCGGGTCAGGGGCTTCTCCCCATTTCACAGAGGCAAAGACACGGGACAGCTTTACCGAGGGGGCTCAGCGGCCGTTGCCAATGATGGGGGGGGGACCACATCGCTGCCAGAGCCCCCCAGGGAGGGCAAAGCCCCAGTTGCATCCTGGCAAGGGTTTGGGGCCAAGTACACGCCGGTCCCCCAAGACCCACCTCCAACCACGGGATAACTTTCCTCTTTTCCCTCCAGCTCGGTCTCTGCACGAGAGCCGGCTCCTCCCAGCCGACGAGCAGAGCCCGTCTCCATTTTGTGGGGCTTGGCTGTGTGTTTATATTGCCTTTGCTCCAAACTCCACCTTTTCATTGACAGCTATTGTTTCCACGGGCAATTTCAGGCCTGGCCCCCAGCCAGCTTTTCAGTCATACCAAGGAACAGATATATAATTTCATTCACCTCCAGGGTACAAACAGAAAAGAAGGATTTTCATATGTGCTTTCTGCATCACCCTCCCCATTCGCTTCCTAGGGGTCCAATATACATAATTATCTCAGCCGGCTACATCTAAGCAGGATTAAATGCTTTATGTGATATTATCTCACGGCAATCTGATTACAAGGCTGCCTTTAAATGTATAATGTGGTTTTTTGTACCAACTTACACCGCACGCCAGAAATCAAATAAGAAAATATCACCAACGGTCTGCGAGGAATCCCGACCCGTGGACACCCCTGAGGTTTTTAAGTTTCAGGCGAAGGCTTTCGGCTGAAAACAGAGGGCTAAAAGGTTTACAAGCACTTCTAGTGTGTCTAGAAAC